TTTTTTTTTTTTTTTTTGAAGTAAGGACTACTTTTAAACTGTGCTGTTGTTGAGTGAAGGGTTGTAGGATGTACTCATGTGTTAACATTAACTGTCTCCATGGATGGGTGGCTTGTGACAGCAGAACATAAAGGCTTTGTCATAGCAGAAACCTAAAGTCTTTTTTTTAGTAAACTAGAGCAGGTATAGGTTAACAAAGTTTAAAATGTAATGGCTTATGTATAGAAAAACAAAGGGAATATTTGAAAAAATTACTTCTCAGTTAAAATACTGCAGCTGGTAAAGGGAGCCCAAAAAATTTAATCCAAAATTTGAGGTTTCCATGCATGTGTGCTACTATTTAAGCTATCAGCTATTTCATATTTCTCTTAATTTCTCTGAATGTTACAGTTAAAGTGAATTGGATGAATTTTTTCCTATCTTGCTAAAGATAAATCTGAAAATAAATATGCAAAGGAATACAATTAATATTTATCCTACATTTTTTAATAGGATTTACCAAACCAGTTTTACCGAGATTCTCATACTTTACATGAAGTTCTAAGGTGGGTATGAGTGAGGCATGTAATCTGAAACTCCACATTAGGGGTTAAGCTAGCTGCTCAGTGGCTGCTGGGCTTAGCCTGGGAAGGATCATTGGCCAAATAAGCAAAACTCTACATGAAATGTCAAGTAGCTTGTGCTTCAAGATTACTATATTTTCTTGTTTTAGGAAGTATGTGCAGATTGGCCGATGTCCTCTTATATTTATAACCTCTGACAGTGTCAGTGGAGATAATCATAGGTTACTATTTCCCAAAGAAATTCAAGAAGAGTGTTCTATCTCAAACATTAGGTAAGGAAGAAGTGTCTGCTTAGAATGTTCACATGCATGGCAGTATTTTTAAATTAATCATTAACTACATCTGTATTAAACAGTTTCAACCCTGTGGCACCAACAATTATGATGAAATTTCTAAATCGAATAGTGACTATGGAAGCTAATAAGGTAAGTCTGATTAATTTGACTTTTACATCATAGTTACAGAAAGCCCAACTTATATAGTATGTATACTGGAGGAGTGGGAGACATATTCTTTTTGTTGTTGTATTTGTTTTTGAGTTTTTTGGACATGTTTTTAGGGTTAAAAATTTTTTTAAACATAAGACATGCCATTTTATCAAATAGAGGAAATACTAATTAAAAATATTTAACCTCAGGCCAGGGATTTAGCTCAGTGGCACCGTGCCTTCCCCAAAAGCAAAAGATCCTGAGTTCGATCCCCGATACCAAAAAAAAAAAAAAAAATTGAACCTCTTTCTACTCTTAGACTTAACTTTCACATTGAGGTAAATTTGCTCTTTTTGGCTTACTGTGCTAAATTATACCTGCCATCAAGAAAATGAGTACAAATGAGTACATTATACTCATTCTAGAGGTTAAAAAAAAAAAATTGAGCACTGTGAAAGGAGTAGCTTGTATGATATACCACAACTATTAAGGATCAGATGAGGTTCAAATTTTGTTTTTTGGTTTTTTTTGGTACCGGGGATCAAACTTGGGTCCTTGCACTTGTGCAGCAGGCGGCGAAACCACTGAGCTAAATCCCCAGCCCCAAGTTTTGTTTTAACTCTAATTTACTGTCTTAAAACAACAGATTGTGAATAACAACAAACGCCTATGGATCTTTATATACCTGTACATACTAGATGAAAGTACATAAAAATGTTAAGTGTGATTAGTTCTGGATGGATTTGATTTTGTAAAAGTTTATATGCTCTACCATAAGCATGATAACTACATATTATGGTTTTAAATGTTCAACATTAAGGAATAACCAAAACAGTAATCAGCGTACTGTTTTATCACATTTAACTCAAAACTTCTATTTTAAAACCCATGCACCTATATTCCCAGCACTCTGGGAGGCTGAGGCAGGAGTATTAAAAGTTTGAGCCCAGTCTGGGAAACTTAGTAATTTAAGAACATCTCTCAAAAAGTAAAAAGGGCTGGGGATGGGCCAGGGATTTAGCTCAGTGGTTCTTGCCGCACAAGTGCAAGGTCCAGAGTTCGATCCCCGGTACCAAAAAAATAAAAAGGGCTGGGAATGTAGCTCAGTGCAAAAACCCTAGATTCAATCCTTAGTACTCACCCTCAGGGGGAAAAAAAACCAACGTCTGTTTTAATACTAGGTCATTAATTACAAATGGCATTTACTTTTAAAAGTTTTCATCATATGGGGCTAAGGATGTAGCTCAGTGATAGAGCACCTGGCTGGCAAGCATGAGGATCTGGATTCAATCCCAGCACCATCACCCCCCACTCCCCCCCCCCCACAAAAAGATTGGATGTAGCTTTGTATAGAGACACATACCTGTAACCTCAGGTACTCGAGAGGCTGAGGCAGAAGGATTTCAAGTTTGGGGCTGGGTTAGGTAATTTAACAAGACCCTATCTCAAAATAAAAAGGGCTAGAGATGAAGTTCAGTAGTAGAGTACCCTGAGTTCAATCCTCAATACCAAAAAACGTGAAGGAAAAAAAAAAAAAAATCTCCAAGATGATACTGTTAGGTTTGGGAAATCATAAGAAGAGGGCTGACATCTTAGTTATGTAGGAAAGTATTGAAATTTCTTAGTAAGTTTTTCAAAGTTTATGAAGCTATTTCTTTGCTCTTGTTGTGAAAATGATGTTTAGACTTTGCTGATAGGACAACTGATGTCAGGTTTTTGTTTTTGTTGGTTTTTTTCTCAGTTTCGAGGATTGAACTTAGACCTTGTACTTGCGAGGCAGGCGTGGCACCACTGTGCTAAATCCCCGGCCCTTAGACTTTGCTGATAGGGAATATTTACAGTGCAGAGGAATGGCTGATCAGACATTTCCCCCACATTTACATGTTCATAATCATGCTGTGTTCTTCAGCCTCCAAGGATTATGATTTCAAATTGCATTTCCACTTTGGCAAGTAATCCATATGTAGAATTGCTTAAAAAAAAAATACCACTCTGAAAACAATTTCTTATCAAGGGTTTTGTTTCTGGTCCTAGGGAATGGGGATTGAACCCTACCACTGAGCTAGCCCTCAAAACAATTTTTTAATTAAATGTAGTAATAGTAAAAGTGAAGTTAATCTGATGCTATGCATGATGGTGATGCACACCTGTAATTCCAGCATTTGGGAGACTAGGCAGGAGGATTGCAAGTTCAGACCCAGCCCAGGGAACTTAGCAACTTAGTGAGAATCTTTCTCAAAATAAAATAAAAAGGGGCTGTGAATGTAGCTCAGTGTGAAGGCCTTGGGTTTAGTTCCTCATAATGGGGGGAAAAGTGACAAAAATATTTCTTGGTCAAAGTAAAATGATAAACAATATTTAATACTCCTGGAATTTTACTTTCAACCATGCAGTCATCAACATTGACACCATTCATAGGCAGGCTGTTGTTCAGCATGGAGGCTTTTTAGTGTTCCAACTTGAAAGAATATACTTTACCTTTGTTAAGTTTAAAAAATGGGTTTTGGGCTGGAGATTTAGCTCAGTGGTTTCGCCACCTGCTGCACAAGTGCAAGGACCCGAGTTTGATCCCCGGTACCATAATAAATAAATAAATAAATAAAAATTAAAAATGGGTTTTATGGTTTTTGTTTTGTATATTTTTTATGAAAGCAGTTTTTTAAAATTTAATTTTCTCATTTCAGAATGGAGGAAAAATTATTGTCCCTGATAAAACTTCTCTAGAGTTGCTCTGTCAAGGATATTCTGGTGATATCAGAAGTGCAATAAACAGCCTCCAGTTTTCTTCTTCAAAAGTTAAACAGTAGGGGCCGGGGATTTAGCTCAGTGGTTTCGCCACCTGCTGGGCAAGCACAAGGACCCTAGTTCGGTCCCCGGTACCAAAAAGAAAGAACAATAGAAGGAGCATTCAGAGGATTCTATAGATAACTGACTTCCTTTCATTATTCATGAAACGAAATCAAACTCTGTGTGTGTGTGTGTGTCTGTTACTCGAGATCAAACCCAGGATCTTGTGCATACTAAGCAAGTGTCCTACCACTAGGCTATGCTTCTAGCCCAAAATAAACATTTTAACTTATAATTGACAGCCTCTCCCATCCATGGTCATCTATGGTCTGGAAATATTAATGGAACATTCCAGAAATAAATAATTCATAAGTTTTAAATTCTGTACCACTAAGCAGTGTAATAAGATCTTTCACTGTCCTGCCCAGGAAGTGAATCATCGCTAACCCAGCATATCCACATTGCACCCACTGTATCTCCTGTCTGCCGTGGAGGCCATCTTGCTTATCAGATCCACTGCCATGGGATCCCAGTGCCTATGTTCAAGTAACTGTTATTTTACTTGATAATAGCTCCAAATACAGGAGTGGTGTCGCTGGCAGTTTCGATATACCAAAGGGAAACTGTGAAGTGGTTCCTTTAAGTCAAAAAGGGAAAGGTCTTTAGTGGGGAAAGAAAAAAATTACAGACTGAGGTTCCTAAGATCTGTGGTAAGAACCAATCTACTGGCTGGGGATTTAGCTCAGTGGTTTCGCTGCCTGTTGCGCAAGTGCAAGGACCCGAGTTTGATCCCTGGTACCAAAAAAAAAGGAATGAATCGACCATCCATAAAATTATAAAGGAAAAAAAATTCATGCTAATTTTGCTACCACATCTCAAAAAAGTTGCTTATGGCCACAGTGTATGTAGTATTTAGCTAAGATGGAAAAGGTATTAGATCTATGTATATATATGTATATAAAATATATATTTTAATTATATATGTGTGTGTGGTTTGATTTTCTCTGCAGTTTCAGGCATCCATATCCACTGGGGGTCTTGGAATGTAACCCTAGTGCATAGGGGGGTGACTACTGTACAGGTGTACACTTTTTTATTGAAACACTGGCTTACAATCATGTATGTGCACATGAATATACCAACTTCTATGAATATGTCATAATTTATATTCTTATATCTGTTTGAGACAAAATTT